GTGTGTGTGTGTGTGTGTGTGTGTGTGTGTGTGTGTGTGTACGCGCGCGCGGGGGGGTGTGGGGGCGGGGAGACGGTCTCGTGAACTTTCTATAATGTTCATGGTTCTAGAGGGGCGGGTCTGGGGATCACAGGGGTCCCTGCCCAGCTGGCTGCTGACTGATTGGCTGGCTGCTCTCAACTCAGAACCGGTAGCTGGGACCACGCTCTTCCCGGGCAGCTGCAGCAATTCCTGGGAGGTTTTGTTTTCTGAGCACCATGGGTACCACACTTCATTCCACAGAGGAGAAAAACACTCAGAGAGGGAAAGCGGCTAGCCCAAGGTCACACAGTAGTGTGGACCCGGAGGATTCATACCAGCTTTGTCCGTGGGTCCCCAAAGCGGGTTCGCTCCCAGGTCTGCCCCACCCCCCAGGTCTGTCTGCCCCGAGGTCTGCGGTCCACACCCAGCTTCTAGCGGGCGGCGGCACCGGGAGCCCTAGATCAGAGCCGGGTCCAGTGCGAGCTGACAGCAGGCGGCTCCTCCGTCACCTCCCAGCAGGCGGCTCGGCCCCACGCGCACCGGGTGCGGCCCCCGCGGGATGACCGGTGCGCAGCCTCTGCGGTCCTGGGAGTGCGGCTGAGTGCCGGAGGACGCGGGGCAAAGTGCTCGTGGGCCACCCAGAGCCGGGGACCGACACCCACCTAAGGTCACCCGCAGAGAGCACCCGCGGAGAGCGCGGCTCCCTCCAGGTCCCGCCACTTCCAAACTTTCCGCCCCTGAGCATCCGGAACCCGGAGACTTGCAGGTGCAGAGCGCGCTCACCGAGGCTGCCCCGGCGCCTGCCCTCGCGGCCAGGGCCACCTTCCCGCTCTACCCCGCCCTCTGCCCTCCCGGGGGAAACCCGTGTGCCGTCGCCTCTGGGGTCGGGGTCCGCAGGCCGGGGTCCCAGCCAGCTCCCCCTCAGCGCCGCGGCCGGCACAGCGGGGACGCGCTGGAAGGAGCGGGAGAGCGAGGCACAGAGAGGGCCAGACACTAGCCCAAGGTCACACAGCGCAGCGGCGCGAAGTCGGGCGTGGGGACGGTCCCCGTGGGCGGCCACCGCGCGGTACTCACAGCCGGTCTTGCCCTCCAGCTCCCGCACCTCCTCGGACGCCGAGTGCGTAGCGCCCATGGTGCGCGGGGCCCCGGGGGCGCCCCTCGCAGGCCCCGGGCTGTCTGGGCTGCTCTGCGGCCGATCGGGCCGGGCCGGGCCGGGTGGGGACGCGGGGACAGTGGCGCGGAGCCGGTTCCGCGTGGGGCCGGAGCGTGGCCTCTTATAGCGGCGGCAGGCGGCGCGCGCGGTCCTAGAGCTCGCCGGCTTTTCTCGCTGCTGGGGGCGGGACCCCGCAATCGCGATCACGCCCCTGCCGCAGCCCCGCTGGGTGGGGACAGCAGGTGTGGGCCAGTGCTGCTGGTGAGACGCTGGGACTGGGGACAGCGCGATGCGCCCCCGGAGGGGTCCCAGTGCCTCGCTTCCCACCGCTAGTCGTCCCAGGTCTCAGGAGCTGAGCCCGGGGAGGGGTGGGGAGTTAGCTCCGTGGAGAACATGGCGATCCGGGTTAAACTCGCTGCCCAGGCCGCCCCAGACCCTCCCCAGCGTCCTGCCTTGTAGCCACACCCGGATGGCCGCCCTGAGAGCCAGCTGGGTGCAGGTAGAGGAGGCCGGGCAAGTGGGAGACCGGTTAGGCTCTGCACCTAGGCGGACTGACCCGACCAGTCCTGCCGCTGATCTAACCGGTCATCCCTCCACCTCAAAATGAGAATAAGTTAATGAGATGTCCACCAAAGGGCAGACACAGAGCAAGGTGTCTGTGGCTGGTGGCCCTGAGGGGCCGTGTCCAGTTGACAAGCTGATATTCTGGAGCCCAGGCAGAATTCAACAAGGCTTCCCTGTCCTGCCTGGTGACACTGTGACAGGCAGAGCTGTGACTTTGGCATTCGGTGTCCATCCTGGCATCAGCTCAGACATGAATGCTAAGGTTCCCTGGGTCAACCATCCTACCAGTCAGGAGCATGTTGGGCCCAGGATTTTGGCACTGAGTCTAGGAGCCTATCCCACCCCAGCACTCCACCACCTCCTATCCTCAAGTTCCCCACCACCCCTACCCTCCACCACCACCACCCCCAAGGCCTTCCAACAACAGGGACACCTGGCAGAGCCAACAGTCCTGCCACCTGAGCTGCAGAAGTAGCCCAACTGGGCTGAACATCCACTTTCTCTGGGCCCCCAGGATGCTGGGTGACCCCCAGGGTGGACTCTGCAGCAGCTCAGGGGGTCATTGACCCCCTCCAGACTGACTTGACTGGGGACAATTCTGGCTGACTGGGCTGGACACTGGTTTTGAGGCTCCGTCCAGATAGAACCTCATGAGGGCGGAAGTTGAGAGAGGGGTCCCCCAGACCCTAGGGTGTTGGGTCCCCAAAGCAGGGAGGGCCCCTAGCTTGCCAAAGCAACTCAATCCTGAGTTCTCTGAAGGGATTCAGCAGTGGGGCTCTGCCAGAGGAAGGGGAGTGGTATTCTTGGGTCTGCAGCCTCCCACTACGGAACACACACATACACAACACACAGACTCACATTCACACTCACACAACTCACATTCATGCATGTATGCTCAGATATACAACTCATACTCACACATATGTGCAGACACACACACACTCATATACATACATCCATACACATAGACACAGTCACACACGCACACCCATATGTATGCTCAGATACTGATACACACAAAGTCACACATACACTCAAGACACACACATACACATAAACACACATATGTATGTTCAGACACACACACACACACACACACACACACACCTCCCCCCACCCCACCCTCAGCTGGAGACAAACACTGCTGTAAACATAAAATCCGTGTCGATGAGAGACACTTGGCTCCTCTGGACTCCCCAGGGGAGCAGCAGTCTACACTGGTGATGGTCCAGCCACACCCAGTCTACACTGATGAGCCTGTCTGCGCTGACAGCTGACCCATTAGCTCCTAGCTGGATCCTTCTATTCCCACCATCCCCCATCTCGCTGTAGAGTGGCTTTTCAGGGTCCCCTGCTGTCTAGAGCTGCTGTCAAGCTAGCAAGGGTGGGGGGGCTGAGCTGAGGGCGAGGAAGGCTGGGTTATGACAGCCAGGAAAGCTTGCTGCTCACCTGGGCTCCCAGGACTCATCAGGACAGCCTGTGGGTGCAGGAAAATGACGTGGGTATCTGTCACTCATTCATTTGTTCAGCCACTCATTCACTGCATGCTTACTGAGGACCTACTATGTGTAGGGTCCTGGCTCCGTCCTGAAGTCACAATCAGAGATCAGATGCCTCCTTCCCCCCTGACAAAGTGGGAGACACACAGACCAAGTAGAGGGGTAAGTGGGGCTGGGGGTGGGGCCTACAGCTAGAACGGCTGGTAGAGCTGTTTCCACTAAGTCCATGCTTGTCCCCAACTGTGGCCCCAATGAGATATGGAAGCCAAGCACGACTTGGACAACAGGCTCTAGGAGGCTGTGTGAGCACCTGCAGTGCACACACCCTCTGCTGTGGCAGTGATGCTTTTGCCCAGTAGGGGCCCTGTCCACACAAAGCCCACAGCTGCCAGTTCTTTTATTCAGTCTTGTTAATGGCCCTGTTGGTATCACCAGAGTTAGATCGGGGTCTGGAGCCTGAGGTAGGGTCTGCATCTCTGGATGTGCTGGGGGAACGAGCGGAGCTGCCTCCTCCCCCAGCACTAGGTGACCTCTCTCCTGAGGGTGGCCTCAGTCACCAGGCAACTGCCTCCCTTCAGGGCTCTGGTCTCCCAGGAACTGACTAAAAAAAGCAGTGGCTAATGATACCTGTTTGTCTCTGTTCCACTGTGATTAGCAGGGCTGGTCTCTGGGAGGCAGAGATGGTGAGGAAGGCCTGCCTTCCATTCTGTCCCAGGACTATGCTTGCTTGAATAGGTGACTTCGCCTCCCCAGACTCAGTTTTCCCATGTGAAAAGTGGCCAGAGCAGTGGTGCTTCTTCCTGGGGTGCTTGGAGGGTAAAATGAGGACGCATGTACTCAGAGTGCTAGAATCAACCCATGTAGTAAACTCCACACAGGCTTTGAGGCTCTCTGGGGAGTCCCTACTGGTGATGCTTGTCCGTTGTGTGTGAACACTCTTGAGTGGCAACTTCAAGTCAAGAGGAACTCAATACTGGCCTGTCTCCAGAAGGAAGGGCTCTGAGGATGTGGTTCAGGTAGAAAAGTGCCTAACAAGAAGCCATGGGTTTGATCTCCAGCACCACACAAACTGGGTGTGGTACACACCTGGGATCCCAGCACTAGAGAGACTGGAGCAGGAGGATTGCTATGAGTTCACAGCCAGCCTGGGTTACATAGTGAACCCAAGGCCAGTCTGGGCTACAAAGTGAAACCCTGTTTCTGAAAGACGGAGGGCTGGGGGTATAGCTCCATTGGTAGACTGCTTGCTTAGCATGCATAAAGCCCCAGGTTCAGTCCCCGGTCCTGCTCGAACAGGGCCGTGGTAAAGCAGCCTGTCATCCCAGCACTCTGGAGGTGAAGGCAGGAGGATCAGAAGTTCAAGGCCATCCTCAGCTACATAGTGAGTTCAAGGCCAGCCTGGGCTACATAGACCCTGTGTCAAAAGTCCACAGAGGGAGACCCTGAGGTAAGCCCATCTCTACTCGGTATCTCTCATGAGCGCAGCCAAACTCCTTCGCCAGCCTTCTGTGTGGTGGCCTGTTAGTCTTCGTGTTATTGATTTTAGAGAAGTGGCCCAAAGTAGACAGCTTTATCATCCCTGCCCTGACCTTTCCTGCTGGCCCTCAGTGACAGTGTGCCACAGGAGAGTTCCTCAGGCTTCGACCTTGCTCAGCCATGCCTGCTTTTAAACCTTCAGATAGATACACTTAGGTACACTGACACGTGGCGCCTCACTGTCCCCCCTCACAATTCCAACCCCACAGAGAGTCCCGATGGCCAGTGCCAGCCCTGGGGAGCGACACCCAGGCCTGCACAGCCAGCCTGCCTTTCTTTCCTCTCCACTCAGCTGAGCCCTCTCTGCCCCACAGCTACTATTACTAGTTCAACAGATAAAGGGAACTAGGACCTGAGCCTCTGCCCAGGCCCTTCATATTTGATCATTTCTGTCTTGAGACATGATCTGAGCAAGGTGATTTTAGAATATAGTGGTTTCCTCTCACCACTCTGGAACTTGAAACCCACCCCGAGTTGGAAAGTCATGCTCTCCTGACAGCCTGGGTGAGGGACCCTCATGGAGTCAACCCCAGATCTCTCATTCCAGTTGATGCACGCCCCACCTCTTCGGGGCTTGCAGGACCCCAGGATCTTTTTCTCAACTCCTGACCAAACCTCAGATGACCGCAGCTCAGTGGGCCGAGGGACCTAAAAATAGGAGACTGGGTCTCTGGGGAGGGCGGCTTGCGTGTGTTTCTCTTATATTATTTATATAATTATAAATAGCTACCAATCACTGGAGTTTGTAGGGGGCAAATGGAAGCTGGTCCCTGGATGGGCTTCAAATCTGCATTGGAGAGGCAGGGAGAGGTGGCAGAGGCCCAAAATCCATTTCAAGTTCCCCATTCCTTCTAGGGGCCAGGCTTGGTCAAGGGAGGGAGCCCCTGAAGGAGCTGGTGCACATCTGCGCCTGGATGTGGCTTTTCTGGGAGGCAAGTGTCAGTGCACCCCACCTGCTAGGGGCTCCAAGTGGAATACTGTGATTTTTTTTTTTTTATGTTTGTGGAACAGGGGCTCCCTGTAGCCCCAGCTGTCCTGGAACTCACTATGTAGACCAGGCTGGCCTTGAACTCACAGAGATCCGCCTGCCTCTGCCTCCCAAGTGCTGGGACTTACGCGTATGTGCCACCACGCCCGACCAACACTGTGATTTTTTAAATCAGCTGGGATTAGGGGAGAGGCAGCCTGCACCATGAGAGGGCTCCCCAGAGAGGTCCTGTCCGATGCTTGGAACCTGGGATGGCTGGAGTTGAGGTTTCAGAGAGAAGTGTGAGGCTGATCTCCATACTATCCAGATAGGCCCTGTGCACACCCACAGCGGGGCTCTGTACAAGAGAGAGAGAAGTGGAGGGTTGGTCAGGGCACAGAGTTAATAAGAGGTGAAGTGCTGGACTGGTGGCCATGGCTGGCTTTGAAGATGGAGGGACCTTGAGCCAAGGAACACAAGTGACCTCTAAATGCTGAAAAATGCAGGAAATGGGGATAGAGATGCTCAGGGGTTAAGAGCACTGGCTGCTTTTGCGGGGAACCTGGGTTCAGTTCTCAGCACCCACATGGCAGCTAACAATTGTCC